TGTCTGTCATTCCTTCTTCCCACTCAGGCTGTGAAGTGATGCCAGGACAACAGGACATAATGTCCAGTCTACAGATGCCACGTCACAATACACCTGATTAAACAGTTATTTGCGTCTAAAACACACTCTGACGCATGATTTATTCAAAGTATGTACGGTAATATTAGAGGGTTGGGATCAGTCCTCCGTCCTCCTGCAGCAACACTAACTGCAGTGTGCGTTTGTGATACTTTTCATGGATGCTTGCTGAGGATGGAGCTGACTCACCACAGCAGACAGAAGTCTGCACAGGAGGGCGCACTTTATTTGTGCCTTGCTGATGTTGAATCACCATCTGACACGTTTGCTGACAAAAGACGCAGTTGCGAAAGTTTGTATCAGTGAGATACGAACTAAAGTTTTACACGCGTTTCTTCTATCTCCTCTTTTTTTTTTTTACTGTTTCTTGCTTCTTCCTCGCACGTTCCTCTGCCTCGCTTACAGCCACGTGTTCATCATCAATAACACCAAGCTGCATTAGGTCCTGACCAGACCATTAAAAGTGGCAAAGTGCCAGCTCAATAATGTCTTAACAGCTCTCTCTGAACCCGACATGCCGCTAACACCTACTGAGCACTAAAAACACTATAAGTAATTAAATGCTAATATAATTAAAAGTGGCGCTTTCCTCAGAGACAGGTAAGGTTGACAACAAAATCCAGCCAATGTAAACCACACCTGAACTATCCCAGTTTCACTAAAACTAACTGGCTCATTGGTGTACTTCAGGATTACGACTTAATGAGGCTAAAACAACCCTGAGAGTCAGGATCGTGTGTACTGCAGCAGCCACATGGGGTTTAACAACAGGGAAATGTCAGTGCCTGTATGACATCGAATGCAGACACCCCCTGACACATGCTGCAGTCACACTGTACACACTGCTGCTGGACCACACCCCCCTCCAGTGGGAAAAAAGAAGAAACAAAAAACAGATGGTGGGGACAAAATAGAAAGTGCAAGGCAAACACGTGTGCTATTTGCCTAATAGATGGACACAAACCTGCAGGGAGCTGCCTTTGTTGTACCTCTGTGTTGTTTTCTGCCTGTATGTTTGTCTTTGTAGCAGAAAGAAAACGAGAGCGCGAGAGAGCAATGGCTGGATCTGTTTCTAAAAATATCCTCTGCATTTTCTTCTCAGACTTAATCTGGAAGTTTCTTCACACACTACTCCCCTGTGATGATGATGACTGGAATCAGGAGGGACACTTCTGAAGTCTCTTATATTTCTCTAGCTTCGTCATTCAGCTACGTCACTAAAACACTTTTTATCACACGAGAACAGGAGAAAATAACAGAAACATCTAAGACGATGTAAACAAACTCTGTTTTTGCTGCTTTATGCCCATCCCGAAGCTTTGCGTTTGAATGATTTCATTTGATCATGACTGTGCATTAATATTGCCACAGGCACAAATCCAAATCAGCATTAAAACTAAACAACCATTTCATTTTATCATCTAACATGCGTGGTATTGACTAAAGATGAAATCCATTAGGCATGTGACATAAAAATGGATTAATCAATCATCTAACAACCATGAATGCCAAGCAAATATTTTATTGATTCTGGCTTTCCATGGGGAGGATTTTCCTCTTTTTTTCATATCACTTTAATTTGAATAGATTTTCATCAGTTGCTGAAGAAAAAAAAAGCTCTCTGAAGAGGAGACAGAGCTCTGAGCTACTTCAGACACTACTTAATAAATGAGAGAGTGTGCATTTTATATGCAGCCTTGAATAGAACAAATAAGACAGAATCGTGTGATGTTGAATTTAATGTCTTGTTTGGCGTTTTTGCAGCTTATGCTCTATTATCACAACAATAAATTAGCCTTAATTTGTTGTTGTTATATTTATTATTGGTACTTGTGAGTCTCACCAACACAGCTACGCAAAATGAATCCCATGAATAATCACTGAAAGTGGGGAATAGAGTTAATAACATTTTTTAAAGCTGCCTCTTGAGCCCTTTCATATAGATATACGTACACTGATTAGAGCAGAGGAGCAGGGTGTTCACTCAGAGCTAGTGCTCCTGCTGCATCTTATCAGCTCACAATTCAATATCCACAAGTTTGCAAATGCGCTGCGTCCGAGACCTTTAGTGGTTAAAATTCATTAACAAAAGTCGCAATATGCTACCCACGGTTTGCACATAAGGGACGTAATACGCTTTTTAGTACCAAGGCAGCGCTATTGATCCCATCCCAAACCTTTTGTGAGTCACGCTTTAACCATTTAAACTCTAAGTGCTGACTGGGCATCCTGACAGCGAAGCACACACTGAAGAAAAGCTGAGACCACAGCTGCACGTTTCCCGCCACACACCTCCCGTTTTTGTCTTTATTCCCTTTTATTTTATTGTTTTTCGTTGACGACGCTCACCTTTGTCCGTTGTCCACGCCGTTTCCGACACAGCTCCGTAGCTCCTGAGCGCGCGCTCGGTGTCCGATATAGATTTCTTCAGTTCCATGTCGGTGGAGTGCACGCGCGCCGAAACCGAGAAACGATGTCGTCCTTCTGCGTCTCTCTCTGAGTCTGTGCGACCTTTCAAATAAGTCAAATTTCACCCGGTGACAAGGCTCCAGGGACCCGAGACGTTGAGCATCTTTATTCGAGGTTTCAAGTCCTTCGACGTGTGGATGGAGAGGATGTAGAGAGCATGCGCAGTGCGGCCAGGAATGTAAAGGCTGGGAGACACCCACTATCACCGAGAACGCATTGAGAGAAGAGGGAAAAAAAAT